GGCTTCCCCTGGAGCAGGGAGCCCGGTGCGGGGCTCGACCCCAGGACTCTGGGATCATGACCTGAGCCGAAGGCAGATGCCTAAGGATTGAGCCACGCAGGCGCCCCATTATAGTTTTTCTTTTTGAAAGCTCTTCTCTTCCCCAAATACATCGTAATAAAGATGTCTATAGCTGAACATTTTTTAAGTTTTTATTTAAATTCCAGTTAGATAACACATAGTGTAATATTAGTTTCAGGTGTACAATACAGTGATTCAGCACTTCCATACAACAGCTGGTGCTCATCACAAGTGCACTCCTTAGTCCCCATCACCTATTTCACCCATCCCCCCACTTACACCTCTCCTCTGGTAACTGTCAGTTTGTCAGTTTGTTCTCTATGGTTAAGAGTCTGTTTCTTGGTTTGTCTGTCTCTCTCCTCCCCCTTTCCCCCCCCTTTGTTCATTTGTTTTGTTTCTTAGATTCCACATATGAGTGAAATCACATGGTATTTGTCTTTCTTTGACTGGTTTGACTTATGTAACTGAACATTTTTTAGCATGGGATTAATAAAAACCGAAGAATATGTATTATAAAATACAGACTTTCACAAAGCACTTAGAAAACATGCAGGCATAGGGTATTACTGGTGTTGGCTGGAAGGAAGTTCTTAATCTTTCAGATATACTGCTTAGAGCCTGGCCTATGCTGGAGTTGTCTTTTCCTATTCTGTTGGCATCCCCACTTCTACCAAGAAGGGTTGGAGGTGTGGAACACATGGGTTGGTTGGGGTGGTGGTGGTGTGTCTTCTATGTTGTCGGAGCAGAAAGATCCCTTTTTTGCCCTGACCCCTGAGGAAAGAGTGGATAGTTGAGTGGGAAGGTGATACTTACCACTGTCCCAGGGCAACAGGGAGAGAGCTAGCTGGCAAACAAGCCAGTACATGGTGCTGCTCTCATTTGAGTTGGGACCCTTTGCCACCTGTTTTCTGGGTGCCCTGGACTTGTGCTTGCACCTGAGTTAGGTCACATGAGCAGGAACTATAAGGATTTTATAATGATTTTTATTTATTTATTTATTTATTTTTAAAGATTTTATTTATTTATTTGAGAGAGAGAGAATGAGAGTCAGAGAGCACGAGAGGGAAGAGG